GGAGCGGTCGACTCTGGACTGAACAAAATTACGGATATTGTAATTTTTTATAGCCATCATCGCTTCTTCTTTTCTTGAAAACTCCATGCCTAAAGATAACTCACCATTATTTATTGATGTGTAATATCCATAGTCACTGAGATGAGGCATATCCGTAAATTATGGCCCCTATATTGCATCATAATCAGCTTCATACATGTGTGCATGAGGGTCAGTTTATGCCATATTTCTTGGAACTTCATCTGCATCATCATCATCGGAGTTGAATTGTGGTGATTTTGGGTGAATGAATAGTCCAGTCTCAACACCATCCGCAGCAGGCTCACGAAGCAATTTTTTGTGTGGAGATGATTGTTCCTCCATGCTCTCCACATTTAGGTCGAAGAACATACTACTTGCACGCCTCCCCCTTGAACTGGAAGGCATATCGACATTGAGATCAAAAAAGCTCGCAGTCGAATGCCTCCCCCTAGAGCTTGAAGCCATCGTGTCAAATGGATAGTGCACAGATTGTTGTATCGATGACATCTCCATATTAAGGTCAAAGGGATTTACAGATGAATGTCTTCCCCTTGAACTGCACGCGATATTTCCATACGGATTGTTCGTCGACCCACCTTGGTACATATCATAAGGAGTTGCGGATGAATGTCTCACCATTATGGAATTAAAATTATTACACATTACTGTCGTCGGGCTGTCAACTTGATCAACTTGTTCAACTAGCCCATAGTGGGAGCTTAATGACTGACCCAGAGCAGCACACACTTGAACAAAATTTGCATACATCTCAATATCGGCGTCTGAATAATTACTTTGAGATTCAACTATCACTTCAACATCATCATTGTTCGAAAGTTGGAACGCTGTATAAGTTAATGGCAACAATGATGTTCGAAATCTGTACTGCAATGACGACATTCTTCTACTACTTCCAACATGAACCTTCCTTGAAATCTTCGTTATCAGCTCCTCAAGAGTTATGTTTCTCTTGAATGATATTTTAACACACTCATTTGATACGAAAACAATGCCGGTTTCATCTTCTCGAATTTCACCATCATAATAAACAATAGTTGAAAGTCGCGTCATTCTTTGAGTTTAAAAGTGCGACAATATTATATCTGCAAAAAACAACTGAAAGAAACTTGATTAAATAAATAATATATGTACAAAAATATAACATAATAAAATTTTTACACATAAACGTATAATATTTTTTTCAAATAATCATAATAAACAATAAGTATAATAAAAAAAATTATAACAAAATTACCTTATAACGAAAAATCACACGAACTTCTGAATCGAATATGAGAACTTTGCTGGAATTATTGACTCATTGCCGGAATTATTAACTCGTTGACGGAATTGTTGTATTAATTTATAAGTTGAGAGGGGAGATGTGAGGAGTTTACCGGGGCAGAAGGGTATTTATAGCCGAGAAAAGTATCTATAAATATATAAGGCGCGGTACCTGCACCGTGCCTTATATAATTGTATCAATTAAAGCTAAGGCGCGACCCTGCCCCACGCTATATATAATTAAATTAAAGGTAAGGCGCGACCTCTGACCAGCGCTATTGTCCTACGTGGCGTAAGGCGCGCCCTAGGGGCCACGCTTTACACATGTGTAACCCACATCAGAGCGCGCCTTACCACACGTGGCGCCAAATCAACGTAAAACGCACTGCAAGGGGCACGTCTTATTGCAAATGGTGTTAGATCAAAATAAATAATCTGAAGAGTGCCTTACAGAGAAATATAAATGGAAGATGTGATATATCATGAAAAACGCCCATTTTAATGTGGGATCTAATACTTAATTAATTATCGATTTAAAAGTTTGTAGTGCTTAGTTAGACTCAATTGGTTCATCAAGGTCTACCGTGTGACGTGGCGTTAAAGTACGCGTGATGGCTCGCACGTTGTACTTCTCGAAGCGACGTCGTAAGAATTGAACATTCTAATTCTTGTGGGTCCCACTGATTTGCCAGCTCATGCCGATAGTTCCAACCTTTGAAAGCGTTAAAAGTAGGGATGGCAATGGGTCGGGTCGGGTCGGGTTTTTGGGCCACCCGACCTGACCCGAGAAGAAAGGGTTTTTCACCCATGACCCGACCCGACCCGACGAAATTAAGGTTTCACCCGACCCGACCCGAATATATGACTTAGAAACCCGACCCAACCCGACCCGAAATAATAATAAAAAAAATTTTATTCAATGAAAACAGTGACTTAATTGAAAAAAATTATATATGGAGGACATTATTGTAATTATCCCTAAATATATAGGATAAAATTATATATATTTTTCGGGTCGGGTCGGGTCGGATTTTTTTCACCCTAAACCCGACCCGACCCAGTACATTTAAAAAAACCCCGACCCGACCCGAACCCGAATTTTTTTTTAAAAAAATTCGACCCGATCGGGTCGGGTCGGGTCGGGTCGGAACCCGTCGGATTCGGGTTGAGTTGCCATCCCTAGTTAAAAGGTTGGATTGTCAGTCGGATTAGAAATGCAAAGTAGGTAAGCTTTCTACGTAGTCACTAAATTATATGACTGATTATATTTTAATCACCAAACTAAGAATTTTATCAATTAAATCACTAAATTATCAAAATTATTTCAATTAAACCACTAACCAACATTTAGGAAATTAGAGAATTAAATTTTAAATTATGAAACTAATTTAAAATAAAATTAAATATTAAATATTAAAAAAATATTAAATTATTTTATATTATAACTAAATTAATAGATTATATAAATTTTGATGACTAAAATTATTATTATACATATGTATGTCACTATATCTATTTATTTTTAATAGTTAATAATCAAGAGGTATAATATAAAAAATACTCCTAACATTAGATTAAATAATCAATTTTACTTTCATTTTTTTGGGATTATTTTAATATTAAACGTTTAATTTTAGGACAAAAATACTTCTATGTGGATGGAAAATATTAGTCAATAAATGTCCAACACTATAAAATCAACATTTTTTTCCTAAAATTAAATGTCGAGAGTCAAAGTATAATAGAAAAAAGAAGATTAAAGTGACTATTTATATGTTAGTTTTTTTATCCAAATATTAAAAATCAAAATATTTAAAAAAAAACTAAAGTGATTTTTTAGTTAAATCTTAATAATAGTATTTTAAAAAAAATAAATGAATAAAAATAAAAGATTGATAATAGTTTAGTGAAATGATTACTCTTAAAAAAAATAGAAAACTTGTGTCGTCCAGAACTATTAAAGTTTTGCTTAGGTGTTATACGATGGCAAAGGTTTATTTTCAAAACAATAAAATTAGGAAGTGTTTCTTATGGGTTAATTACAAATTTTTATCATTAAACTTTATTCTCTTTCCTATGTTGCTTAGTGAACTATAAAAAAATTCAATTTTCTGACTGAATCAAATACATTGAGTTTTTTTGTTCAGTCAGTCGTTAAATAGTAAATAGTGTTAAAACGACAATTTTTTTGTAAAACAACGTCGTTTTGCATATATATAAAAGTCCATTTATAACGATGTTAGTAAGAAAATAGTTGAGTGACAAAAAAAATTAGTGTATTATATGAGTGAGAGTAAAGTTCAGTTACTAAATTTGTAATTTACCCTTTTTTATTTAGTGTTCGAAACTTTAAATTACATTATGTAGTTAATTTTATTTAGTGTTTTGAATTATTAAATGTATTATGATGATTTGTTTATAAGGAGTATAAATGAGACAAGATAGATATTGGGTTATTTAAGTTTGATTTAGTCAAAGTTTGATCAATACTTGAATCGAATGAACTCGACCATAACTAAACTTGACTCAAGTTTTTCATGAATCGAAACAAGATATTTGATATCCGACTCAAAGAATTCATGAACGACACAAAAAAAACTCGTGAGCAACTCAAAGAATAATATATTAAATTGTATTTTTGTAAAATTAAATTATTAATAATATTAACATTTATTTGTTATTTTTTTAAATAAATATAATATAAGATTTTCATGTACTTAAAGTTTAGATTCGAGCTTGAAATCGAACTCAAGTTCGACCTAAGTCTGAAAATTCGTGTTTAAGTTTTCTCGAGCAAGTTGAACTTCAATTTAGATTTGAAATCTATTCAACTCAATTTTAAACTTTTGAAATCAAGTTAAACTCAACAATATTCAAACTCAACTATACTCGTTTACAAATAAAAATAATAATTGATTTTAGTTGTGTGACGATTAAGAATAACTGAGGAGAAGAAAAAAAAGGAGTGTTAAAGAGAATATAAAATTTGGTATAAATATTTGACAAGTTATTTTGGTTAAATTTTGAGAATAAATTTTTTTAATAAATCATATAACATTCATTTATGTTAAAAGGGTATGTACCAAGTCCCTAAGCGAGTAAATGCATATTTGTTATTTAAAAAAATTAATTTAATATGTTAAGGGAAAGAGAACAAAATTGGATACTCAATTTTTTAGAAAAAGATTTATTAAGATTTTGGACCCTCATATGTAATTCATAGATCCATCACTGTCATTAAATATTTAAAAGGGTAAACTACGCTAATGGTCAATAATATTTAGGTAAGTGTTCGTTTTCACCACTGATATTTGAAAAGTCACAAATCGATCACTAACGTTATCATTTGTTACAAAATGACCACTTAACGTTAACAATCGTTAACGGAATGCTAACGTAGCACGTTAAACTAACTGACTCAGTATGTTTGACCAATCGTTTGACTCTTCTTGTTCTTCTTCTTCTTGTTTTACGCTTGTCATAAACTTTTCACTATAAGTTTCAGATTTCACGTTTAAAATTTTGAGATTGCAAAGCTTTTCACTATAAATTTCAGATTTCACGTTACAATAAATTAGCATGCATATATTCACCAGAATGCTGGATTGTTTTTTTTCCCTTGCCAAACTCAATTATCTTTCCGAAGTTATTGAACAACCAAACCCATTCCGGACGATGTCTGTCCATTGTCATTAAATATTTTAAAACTGATATAGCTTTAGTAACCACCAAACAGAAAGCGTCTATCAAGTTGCTCGTAAACATACCAATAAATTTGAGGCTTTATGTCCCTGTGGCACACACCAATACTGTTATGAATGTAAGCAAGTGCTCTGCAAATCGGCACAAAGATGAAGATATTACCAATTTCATTTAAGGGTTGCATATTATGGCATCATGGGTTCTTGTTTCCACATAGATGTAAAAGATGGAAATAAAATAACAAAAGTAAATATCTTAACCAAGCATATACCTGGTAAAAATAGAGTTTAACATATATCAGTGACATCCTTTGGCTCATCTTATTATAATGTTTGATAACACAGTGAACAGTCTCCGGAACATACTGGAGCACCAAATTAAGATAGAGCTCATCTTTTTCGGTAGTTGAAAAGAAACAATGCTTCAGAGAGACAACATTAGAGTGGTCTAGAGTACGCATGGTCTGCAATTCACGGTTCTTGTATCTTTTGTCTTGAAGAACCTTCTTAATAGCAATAGTTTCGCCTGTCTCTATGCATTTATCATGAGATACAACACAGACAATTCAGTACAAAAACCTAACACTAAACTTAAAATATGAAACATGAATATATCTTCAAGTTTAGTATGAAAAGGAAGAAATCAATGTGTACCTGAAACACTACGTCAAATGATTCATGCCTATCAACACGCTCAGCCATATAGCTTACTGTCTGAAAATGAAAGAAATGTTAAGTTAGAGAAGCATAAGACATCCGAAAATCAGACCCAATAAACTCTAGTTCACAGGAGAAAATTATAAAATCAACCTTCTTAGGATGACCATTTTTACCCCCAATAGCGATGACGATTATATGTCCTGTCTCAGTTCCGGTATCGTCAACTATGGTTGCTTCTGCTTCCTTCAACATAATAATAGCTTTTATAAAGCTGATCCAATCCAAACAAAGCAAACTACAAAAATAAATCAACATACCTTGTCATCCTTGATTTTTTTTTCATTATGGTTAATTTGAAGAAGAAGAAGAGTCAAACGGTTGGTTAAATATGCTGAGTCAACTGGTCTAATGTGCCATGTCAGCATTTCGTTACTGTAGTAATGATTTATTAGTGGCTGTTAATGACGAGTGACCAATTTGTAACAAACGATAATGTTAGTGATCAATTTGTGACTTTTCAAACATCAGTGGTGAAAATGAATACATACACAAAAATTAGTAACCATTTGCGTAGTTTACCCTATTTAAAATCAAGTGATTAAATAAGTAAAAAATATATTATCAGTAATGTTTTTAGAAAAACAATAGTTTAATGACTAGAATAGAAACTCGCTAATAGATTAGTGCCTAAAATTTAGTTTATCCTTAATTTGTGCGATCTCCTTTGCATTGGTTCCATTTCACTTCTCTGTTTTGCAGGATTCCATTTCCCACCCATTTCTCCAAAGCCACATAACGTTTTAACAAAACCAACAAAAAAGAAGAAATTTGTCCAAAGCCACATAACGTTTTCACAAATCCACCAACAAAAAAGAAGAAATTTGTCGCAAGAAAATATTCTTCTCTCAGTCGGCGTCTTTTCGGGTTCTTTTCTGTTTGCACTCCATGCAATAAAAAATGCAGTAAGTCGAAGAAAGAAACCAAGTGATTCACATGGTAGAAAAAGGTAAGACAAAGAGTTGGAAAGGGAGGAGAGATTCAGAAACTGTTAAGTTAGCAGAGCGACGTCGTTTGCAACACCAAAAAGAAAAAAATCCGACGACGAGAGAGGTCGCCTCGTGGTTGCTATTACTCCCCCTATGTCTCACAACCACCGGATCCGGCGCGTGAGTCCCAAAACTCCTACAACAGCAGGTGCGGATGCTGCTATCGAGAAGGTTCTCCCCAACGGCGATATTTACACAGGTGGCTTATCCGGGAACGCGCCTCATGGATCGGGGAAGTACCTTTGGAAAGATGGGTGCATGTATGAAGGCGAGTGGCGGCGAGGGAAAGCTTCCGGGAAAGGGAAGTTCTCGTGGCCGTCGGGAGCCACTTATGAAGGGGATTTCAAGTCGGGTCGGATGGAAGCGGGACGTTTATCGGATCCGACGATGACACGTATTGCGGGTCTTGGATCTCCAATCGGAAATATGGGTACGGTCTTAAACGTTACGCCAATGGGGATTACTATGAAGGGTCGTGGAAGAAAGACCTACAAGACGGATACGGGCGTTATGTTTGGAGTAACGGGAACGAGTACATCGGAGAATGGAAAAACGGCGTTATCTCCGGTCGTGGAACATTGACTTGGTCGAACAAAAACCGGTACGAAAGGCAATGAGATAAAGGAGCCCCCAAAGGGGACGGAGTTTTCTCCTGGCCAGACGGAAGCCGTTATATCGGACCTTGGAACGAAGATAACATGAAAAAAGTTCAACAGTTAAACGGAACATTACATAATGGGAACATCTGGAAAGAGCATTGTGATGGAAGGGGAAGCTTAGGGGAAAGAATCATTAATTTCCCCAGGATTTGCATATGGGAAAATGATGGTGAAGAACGAGACATTACTTGCGATATAATCGATAATGCTGAAACCTCGATGATTTACAGAAATGGGTTTAGGGAATTTAGAAGAAATTCTTGTTGTTTTAGTGGGGATATTAAGAAACCTGGACAACTGATTTCTAAAGACCATAAGAATTATGATTTAATGCTTAATTTGCAATTGGGTATCAGGTGAAATATTGTTTGATTTCCTTTCTGGTGTGGATGTGTCTATGTGTTTGATATTTGGATTTGAGGGTTTAATTTACTTTTGTTGAATATTTTGTTGTAGGTATTCTGTTGGGAAACATGCTTTGATGTTGCGGGTTTTGAAGCCGACAGATTTTGATCCAAAAGAGAAGTTTTGGATGAGGTTTCCGAGTGAAGGATCCAAGCTTACTCCGCCTCATCAATCCGCCGAGTTCTGGTGGAAGGATTATTGTCAGGTTGTGTTTCGGTATGATCCTTATGCTTTTTAGTAGATATTCTTCGCAATGAGCTTGCTTTATTGCATAACAGTTTCCTTAGATTCTGTTATCAGTCACCTTTTGCTATTGGTCGTATTTCACTTGTTTTGGGCTTCCCTTTTGTGTGTCTCAGACATTTGAGGGAGCTATTCCAAGTTGATCCTGCTGATTACATGCTGGCTATTTGCGGAAATGATGCCCTTAGAGAGCTTTCTTCTCTGGGGAAGAGTGGAAGCTTCTTTTACCTTACTCAAGATGACAGATTCTTGATAAAAACAGTCAAGAAATCTGAAGTCAAAGTTAGTTGCCAACTCATTTGACTTTCATTTTAAAATTGTTACGTGTTTTGATGCATGAATTTCTCGTTTGACACTTAAAGAATTGGAAATGTTGTTTGTTTCTCTTTTTTTGACATTACACTCAGTTAAATTAAACATATATAGCATCAGGATGCTTGGATTGAATCTAAAGTTCTATTAATGATGTCAGGTTCTTATAAGGATGCTTCCGAGTTATTACCAACATGTTTGTCGGTATGAAAACTCCCTTGTAACAAAATTTTATGGCGTGCATTGTGTTAAACCAGTTGGTCGTCAGAAGTTATGCGTTTGACATAAATTGAAAAGAAGGTTTTTTTTTTTATAAGAATGCTAGGCCTCGTTAAAAACTCCTTTCTTGATTAATGGATCTTGTATGGAAGCTCCTTAATCAGCGGAAGGGGGAAAAGAGTGCCTATATATTATTCAACATAATAAATTACAACGAAAACAACAATAGTAATCCCCTTACAAAACACAGAAAATCAAGAAACAACCCTAAACAACCATCAACAACTTTACTAACTCAGCCTATGCCTTCTTTAGCTAAGACATCAACCTCTAAATTGGTTGTCCTATTAACCCATCTAACAACACCTTCAAAGGCATTAAGCCTATGAACAATATCTTTAATAAAGAAGGCATAAACAACAGGACATAATTCAACCCCCTTAATCCAATCCACAGCCACCTTACTGTCACTCTCTATAATCAAACAGTCCTTAATCTTCTGTCGATAATTTGCAAAGAAAGACAATCCCATAAGAATAGCCTTTAACTCCATCAACGTAGGAGCTCCCGGACCAGCAGGTTCCTTGAAATAGCCTATAGTAGAACCTGAGAAATTTTTTAAAACTCCTCCTAACCCACTTTTCTTCCAATCCCTTGTAGTGGCAGCATCAACATTTAATTTAACAAAACCCATAGGAGGAAAGACCAAGGTAAACTAGGTGTAATTTGATTAGAGTGGATAGAAACTAAGTCCCCAAGAGAAGGATCGAAAATGAGTGAGTCTTAGGAATAGACACTTCTTTATACTTTGCTAAGAACCAAGAAGTAAGCCTAAACCTTGCTAAAAAGAAGTATTCTGCCTTATCAAACTTTCCCCTTTCAAACACCACAAAATTCCTCATTTTCCAAGTGGTCCAAAGAACGACCCTTGGAATAAAAGGCCAAATCGAAGAGGTGGACTTCAAATCATCCCAAGCTAGAAAAAAGCTTTTAGCATCCTCTAGTAAAACAGAACAAATCCTCCAAAAATTTAAAAACTTATTCCAAAGAGACCACACCACCGGACAAGAGAAAAAAAAAATGAGAGGAGAATCATCCGACATCTTGCATAGGGGACACAACACATCTTCAATTATGATTATTATTGTTAAATTCTAGACCCGGTTCATTGTGATGGGTAATTTGTTCTGTTATGAGTACCGAATCCATAGACGGTTTGACCTTAAAGGATCCTCCCATGGCCGCTCAACTGATAAGCCAAAAGAGGAAATCGATGAAACAACCCTTAAAGACCTGGATCTGAATTTCGTGTTTCACCTCCAAAGAAATTGGTTTGAGGAACTCATGAAGTAAGCTATTTTACATTTTTAACCCCCCTTTTTTGCAACCCATAGCTTCCCTCTTCATCCTTCGCCTATTTATCGATAACTTTTTTGTAATCAAATGGTTGTAGGCAAATCGATCGAGATTGTGAGTTCTTGGAGGCTGAGAGAATCATGGATTACAGTCTTTTGGTTGGACTACACTTTCGTGATGATAATAGAGGTGATCAAATAGGATTATCACCGTTTCTCTTGCGCACTGGTGAGGAGACAATCATTCTATTTTGTGCTAAATCTGAAAGGAGAATATCCGCTGAAATAAGAATACAGTTTTGACTATGCATGATTATGCAGGCAATAAAGATTCGTATCAAAATGAAAAGTATTTGCAGGGTTGTAGGTTCCTTGAAGTAGAGTTACAAGACATGAACATGGTTCTATCTGACAGGTATTTTTGGTTGTCCCTATTTTTGTGGTTCAAAAGAGCTTAGATTTTAAATATAGAGAAAATAACCTCAGTGACCGAAAATTCTTTATAATATATGATTTTAACCAACTTTTTTACGATTTGCCAAAATGACTAACAAAATCGCAATGCGATCTCTAAATCGTAACGCGATCTCTAAATGTAACGCGATATCCATTATCGCAATTCAGTTTTCAGATTCGCAACGCGATTTTGACCATCACATTGCGATTTTCGAAATCCGCATTGAGATTTTAGATAATCGCAATACGAATATGTAAATCGCAATGCGAATATGTAAATCGCAACGCGATAACACGTGATCGCAACGCGATTCGGACTATCGCAACGCGATTCAGACTATCGCAACGAGATTCTGACTATCGCGTTGCGATAATATAAAATCGCAATGCGATTTTCAAAGCGCCATTAGTATCGCAACGCGTATTTTATTTTCAAATTCCAAACACGAATATTTACCCGTAATCGCAACTCTTAACCTAAAATCCTAAATCACAACTCAGTCTCATCTCCATCTCTCACTCTCTACGACGACATCCGTCCCCATCTCCGACGAAATCCGTCCCCATTTCGGTGAAATCCGTCCCTATCTCTGGCGAAATCCGTCTATCTCCATCTCTCAGAGCCACCCTCACAATCATTCAC